AATGATTAAAAATGATTTATTAAGTTAACAATTTCATATTAACAATTTAATAAATATAAAATGGGCCTTTTCAAAGTAAATTTATTAGTAGATTTGTAGGTGCGAATTTCGTATTGTAATTGTATTGTATTAACCTATGCGTGTGCACTAACTTGGAAGTAAAATAAAAAATATATTATACGATAGAATAAATTTAGAAGCTCTTATAATATATTTTTTATTTTACTTCCAAGTTAATGCACACACATAGGTTAATACAATACATTACAATACGAAAATTCGCACCTACAAATCTACTAATAAATTCACTTTGAAAAGGCCCTTTGATTGATCAGAATTTATAACAATAGTGGATAGTCTAGAGCCTTCAGATTTTTATATTATCAAAAAAAAAGCAATATCACGAAAACAACTAAACTAAATTCAGTGGAATTTTATTCAATTATCTATGGATATACAGAATTAAATTGACTGCATTTGAATATATGGTTGCCGTAATATTACTAGTGCTATTTTTGCTGCTATAAAAATCTGAGAGCTCTGATATGTATCTTAAGTTAACTTTGTCTGGAATTATCTCTTTGGACTTTTTAAATCAAATGATTTCTGTCCATTCACTCACTCTTCACTCCTTTTTAAAACTGCACTCCTTTATTTAAATAATAGAATAATTAGGGATCAAATATTCCCATTAAGTAGGAATAATGGAAATAATGATCTAGAGTGTTGATTATAAATGAAAGATGGTTTCTGTTTGTAAAGAGAATTTGTTGTAAAAAGAATTCATCACGTAACACATTCCAATCTATCCCAACAGCATGAATAATAGACCCTTTCAAAATATCTATGTAATATACTTTCAAGATCTTCAAAGAAAAAGGTGTAATATATCAGAATTGGAATATCAATACAGAAGAGCTTTAGAACAATTAGCCGAAGGATATAAATTATTTTTAATAAGTCTATTTGGGCAATTTTTACTATTATTATTGGTGCAAAATTATGGTGGGGAAAGGAAAAAATCATTGAAAAAGTTGAATCCATCGCAACATCAGGCTTCATGAGTCTAAGTGGAATTACATCATTAATATTATCCAATATCTTACTATGATCGGACTGCCAAATAACCAAGTTATTTGGCAGTTTGATCATAGTAAAGATATCGGATAATGCCGTTATTGGATGTTACACACCAATAACTTATTTATCTGACTTACAGCCAGATAATGAAGTTATTTTTCAAATAACTCCTGTTATTGGCTGCTTCACATCCAATAACTATATATTATCTGTTGGTAGTGCAACTATATTACTAATATTATCTATCAAAAAATGTATTTTAAATAAAACCTTCAAGAAAGACGACATTCAAACTATGGATATTGGTGACAAGTTGCTGGATAGATCATTTAGTAATCAAACATTGCACTATATAAAGGTTATGAAAGGCAAGAAAAAAAAAATTAGAAATTACAACTTAGTCAATTTAAGTCTTATGATTTTTTTTTCTATCTATGTTATCGTTCTTGCAATTATTTCAATCTATTCGAATCCAGAATTAGCACTACATATTTTTATTATAGGTTTATTGTGGGTTTTCTATACACTTCTTTATTTTTATTTGTTCTTTATTGGCAAAAAATACAAAATAAGCAAAGACAATAAAGACAATATTAAAGATACCTTAAAAGGATTGCCTGTGCAATTTATAAACCCAAATAACATTGTTTAAACCTTTTAAACCGACAGAATATTTCAAAACAAATGCTCATTCTAATTTGGAAAGATTGTTTGGGAAGACTCGAATAAATTGTTAAGCTAGAAGAAATAATTCTTTGGAATAATTTTTACTCAAAATTTCATGATCATAATCTCTTTGACAGAACTTATTGAATTTGAAATTGTGATAATTTGTAATTTGAGTAGGATTTTGAGGGTTTATAGTTTGGGCACATGTATAAAAACAGAATATTTTCATAATTCTTAAATATTGAAAATCTTGGAAGGTCAGAAAAGGAGGTTTTATAGCGGAAACGACTTGATAATTAATTTTTTATCGGGTTGAAAAGATTAGTTTGGAGTATATACGCAAAAAATGAAGATTTCTTTCTCTATATTAGTTTTGATCTATTAGTTAGTAAAATTTTTATGTTATGATTAGTTATATATAGTAAATATAAAAGACCATTCTTTTTCGTGTAAGAATAACCTAATGATTTTTATTTGTTATTGATGTAGGAGTTTTTTAATCAATGTGTTTGGATAAGCTCAGAGTCCACAGATTTTTGTAGCATCTAAAATAGCGCTATTTTTTAGCAAAATAGCTAGCAACAATTGTCTTGTGCTAAGATACGAAATTTGCTACTTTTGCATTGTTCTTGAACTGATTTACATAAACGAGTAATTGTATGCATATTTTAGATGATGAATGAAGAACTCACTGAAATGATAGATGAAGAACTTGCAGAAGAAAAATATGATTACATTAAAATTTATACTTAATAAATATAAATTTATAATAAGCTATTTTGCTAAATTTGCTAATTTTACCAGCTATTTTTGCTAACTATTTTTGTTACCAATGTCCGGGATCCCTGGATAAGCTATTCAAGCTCATAAATATCTAACCCAATTGTCAAACCAATTGACTAATTATCAATTAATTAATCGATTAATCAATTTACTGATTAGTTTGTTAATCGACTAAAACTGTGTCACATTAATAATAGTCAATTGAAATCCAATAAATATTCAGTAGACTTACTATTAAATTCAGACTTACTAAAATACTTAATTGCAATTAATTTTGTTATATGTTATATATACTGGTAAAATTAATTGAACCTTAATGTCGAAATAATTGCAATTAATAGCTACCCCAGTTAGGGTGTCCGATGCGAATTATGCGATTTATGTGAAATTTATAATTAGATTAAGTGATTTATTATATGTTTCTTAAAAACTCCTCTAATAATATTTATTTATTTATTTATAGATTAAAATTCAAAGCATGTCAATTATCTGTTAAAATTCGTTTACAAGCTGAAAAAACACATTCTATATCTACTCATGAAACTGGTAACCAGATATATATTAATGCGATTTTACTTAGATTTGGTAACAAAGCCATCTTATTACACCAAAACTTATTCTTCACCAAATATTTCTAATAAATAGCCATTTATTAATAAGATCATTTGATGCAACTCCTTAATTATTTTATATCGATATAGTTAAAAGATACAGAATTTGAAAATAGCAATATTTATTAATTAAAATTATACAAAACATGTATTTATTCAAGTTCATATGATTTCATAAGTACATCCAAAAATTAGAACTGCATATAAGAAATTTGGTACTAAAATCATTTACATCTTTTTTTTTTTGTTTGTTCAACCGCATTATTCACATTTTCATTTTTCAGATTATCTAGTTTTTATCTATTTTTCTATTTTTTTCACACTTTTTTTTTTTCCTCAATTTATTGATTGTTAACAGCAAATTACCCCCGACTTGATTTCTAGCAGCAATTGTTTCGTTAATTTCTATTTTTAATCTTTTAATTTCTTCTTCGTTTTCCACCTTCTCAGGTTGTAACTTGGCAAGTTCTTTTTGTAGAACAGAGTACTTTAATGTGAGATCCGTTTGTATTTTTTGGACTCTGAATGGTTTGTTTCAAGGTCCTGAACCTTATTCTTTGATTCTTGAATTTGTGCTTCAAGGTCTTGAATCTTATTCTTTGCTTCTTGAATTTGTGCTTCGAGTTCTTTTTGTGACAATTTATCTAAGATTCACTTTTTCCATTTCAAGGTCCCGAATCTTATTTTTCGATTCTTGAATTTGTGATTCAAGTTCTTTATGAGACAATTTAAAGTTTATGAGTTCCAATTTGAGGGTAGCATATTTCGACAATAAGTTTGAATGGCTTCTTGAAGCACAGTATTTTTAGATTTTAAATTGACAATCTCGGTTCTCAATACATTGTTTTTTAGTCTTAGACTAGTATTTTCTATTTCGAAGGTTTTGGCATTTGAAAAAAGGGTTATCTATATACATAATATATAATTAGTTAAATTTATACTAATTTTAAAGTGTCAAAAAAGTCACTAATAGTCAATGGACGCATTTTTTTCTCGTGATGTTTGTGATACTTGTTGCTCGTGCTAGTTCTATTGTAGATGATCGTTTAATTGTTGCTTTGTATTTTTGTTGTCCTTCTAACTGTTAGATGTTTTAAAGTAATAATCAAACTGGATATCTGATTGAAAGAAATTTTATATTTAATTATATGCTCTTCATGCTTGACTTTTTGTTGTTCTTGCTATGAATATATAAATACTGCTCACAAATACTTTGGATTCTTCACTTGAGAAACCTCATATTAGTAAAAATGTCTTTATTCAAAACAGAAGAGTCAGAATTTAAGAATCTCTATCTACATAACAGATCTCTTTTCTTGTGTTAACAGTCTCTACCTCTTCAAAATAATATTCAACACCAGTATCATAATAATATGATACTGGTTAATATTATTAACTAGCTTCAATATGATTTATACTACCAACCACATATTAACCATCATCAAAATTTCCATCATAATAATTTCTCAACTCATCAAAATAATCAACCACAATTTAATGATCTATCTATTGAACAATTAGTTAATGTTTTTCGCCAGCTAAACATAAATGAAAACAGCAGCAATCACATCAATCTCGTAATTGAACATAAAAACAAAAATATAAACAACCAAAATTATGAAAACTTTAATCATAATCATGACAAAAATCAATCACACCAAGAAATCGTTAATCCAAATTGTACAGTAGTGCATATCAGCAATATATGTTCAAAGTTCCGTACTTTTATTTTAGTTTTAATGTGTTTTATTTTAATCCTTTTATTCGTAGCAATTGCTGTCAAATTCAATAATCAAATTAAGAATTTGCAGTCTATTTTTGATAAAGACGACGATTTTTTCTTTTATATACAAATTATTTACTTCATTGATTAATTCAATTTAGATTATAATTAATTATTTTTCAAATATACATATTTGGTAGATTAATTTTAAGTTGTTTTTTTTTTTTAAATTGAATCTATTTTTATTTCACTTTATTCGTCTCTTTAGAAGTAGTTCTTTTGTAGTTCTTTTTGGTGATAATTTTTTCTTTGTTTTTCATTCGTTGCTTTAATAGTATTAATATTTCTGTCTTTTGTCATTTTGACAATTATTTTATAGTTTTAGTGGTTTTGAAGTATTTTCATTTTTTTTGATTTTATCATTCTTGTTCTATATATTTATACAAATATTAAAATAAAATATTGCAGTATTGAAAATTTATGAGGAGGCACATCATAGAATTTATTTATAACTTTGCACAAAAAAAAATTCATAAACTACATAATTTATAACTCAAAATAAAAGGGATTCAGTTATATAAAATTTTAATTAGTAAATGTTGCTCCATTTTTAAATTTTGTATCTTTTAATTGTATTTATTTAGATTTTGTACTGTATAAATTCAATATCTCTTAAAGCTAGAAATCATATAAATATTTAAAAATCAAATCGGTGCCAACAGTCATTTTATCAAAAGTTCATTTAGCTATGGTTAGATTAGCATTTTGCTATTTCTGCATAGTCTGCTTAACCAATTGCAATTGAGAAGACTGATTAGTAATTATTATATATAGCTAATAATGAAAAGTTAACATCCCGAAAAAGGGAACAAATATATTTGATATCTGACAATTGATAAACTTAAATTTTCTTTCATGTCATATTTTAATAATAATTAAATTTGTTTATTCTAGTTACTGTATAAGTGCAAAATAACAGGCAGGGGCATTATGGCCCGAATTAGGCTTAATTTAGGCAAAATTTGAAATTACACCCCTGTGCGTTATTTCACGCTTATACGGTATTCAACATTTCTGTAACATTTCTGTATTGGCAATAAATTCACTGTATTGGATCTGCGTGAAGATTTGACATAAAGTTCAAAAAAAAAATTATTCTCAAAAAAACACTGAGCAGCCTAATGATTCAATCAATATCTTAATCTTGATAATGTTGCATGATTCAAAGAGAATAGAATTTAATAGATGATATTCTCTTATCCTCTTTATTCAATATTCAATGTCATCATCATCATGACTTATTCATTAATTTTTATCGAATTTGATTGAATAGTTGTTGAGAAATAATTACTTTAAGTTTAAAAA